AGGTTGGAGAGGCAGGAATAACTGGGCACTTGAAGCTTCCTTTGTGTAATAGCATAGTGGTGTTTCAGATTTAATCAGCACCTAGTTGGCTCCAGAAAGATCTGGAGACGGTAAAGACCAAAGTCCCAGTCTCGGGTTTTAGTCATAGTTCAACATGATGGTTTTTGTCAAGATATTATCTGTCTTTTGCAAGACATACTAACCCCTGTGGAGGCAGTGTGCTGCTCTCCCTGGGAGCTGATGGCAGGTGAATTAGTGCCAGCTGCACCTGACTTCTTACAACCAGCAGACAAAGATCCCAGGTCCCCAGGTACAAACGGTTCCATTTACTTACACCAGCACAAGTTGTCCTTCCTTTGGGTTTGCCCAAGGAGGGTGTTCAGCCCTTTACCGCTCAGCCTAATTATTGACTTAGACTAATGGCTCATTACTGATTCAAATTGCTCAATCTACTGGCTACACAACCAGGCCATTAACATTTTCTAGAGGTAAGACTCTTGGAAATGAGCAGGAAGCAAGCCACAGAATGGGCCAACTTGCCCACAATTATGGCCCAGAATTTCCCTGCCAACAAAGCCTGCCTTTAAACTGATATCTGACAGTTAAACCCTCAAAAAGGGACCAAATTCTACACTTTTAATTGGCAGGAATTTCAAAGTTGCTCATCTCAGGTTTCTCAAACTGCTTCAGTGTTTTCTTGTAGGGGGCAAACTCATCAAGGAAAGCTTTTCGCAGCTCCATAAAAGAGTCACATCTACATGTAAGATATTAAGCGTACAATGAGCTCAACCTAGGCTTTGCCTCCTGCAGGGCCATCAGAGCTTGCGTTTCACCAGCTGTTCAGGGAATTGCAGATACTATCACCAGTGTTTGTAATAGGGAAAAAAAGTCAAAACAGGCCTGGAATTTTATACACTGCAAGAGACTTTATCAAAGAAAAATGGAGTTCATACCACTCGAGACTCTTCATGACTAACACTGAAAGTTAATTCAGCTCAAATTTACCCTGCAATTGCATCATCTTTAAATTCCAGATTATAGAACCAAGCTTCCTTTCTCATTTCCTTCATTCAGTTGATTTAAAAATGGTATCAACACCTCTTGCACAGTGTCCAGAACAGTTAACAACCACTAATGAGCCAGTATCCTCACTTAGACATATTTCCTCTTCACTCATTTCCAATCTCTCCACTTCACTCAGTTTCCAGTTTTAAGAAGAAAGACCAGGTGCCTTTATGGAGATAAGCAATTACATGGCTGTTTTTTACACATTCCTTCTGACTCCTGACCAGCTTACTTTTTAAAACCTTCTTAGTGGTTGTAAAAGACACTACAATATGCAATATGCTAAATATGTAGCTCTGAGCTAAAGTCCCAGCACTCCTCAGATAAAGAAAATAAAACTATTTTGCTTCATGTTTGCTTCTTTTGTTTCAAAAGTGTGGCACAATTTCCCTTTGGCTGGAAAGGAACCTTTTGCATTCTTTAGGCAGGGAAGAAATCCAGTCATGTTGGCTCCAAGGGTGCTTTTCACGGCTTTTTAAAACATTAACAACCTCCTACTGGGAGAGAGAGGGGAGATCCAGACCTGTAGGGGACAGCATGCATCTTCCAAGTCTCTCAGGCCCTTCAGGCTAAGCAGCAATTGGAGCAAATTAGTACAAGAAGCTCCTTGCAAGAGAGTACTGTACAAGGAAAAAGCCAGAGTAAGAAAGACAGCAACAGAAATCTGCAGGTTCTGGACATCCTAATCCCACATAAATGTAATTTCATTCCCTGACAAAGGTCCTGGAAACTCGTTCTTCACTTGCAAGTTGAATTAAGCATAGCAAGAACAATGACAAATGTCTGAGCCACAAAGTGCACACAGTAAGCATGTTCTGGAGAGCCTGGGTTTCCACTCCACCGCATGCAAACACACATGCATCTCCCTAGGCCCAGGTCTGCTCTGCCTTCCAGCAACAGAGCACTTCCCAGACACAGAACAAATCAGTATGTCCTATTTTAAAGTTTTAAGTTTGGTGCCAATTTAATTTTATTTAAATTACCTTACAGGGCAAATTGTATGAGTAACTGGCATTGCATCATACAGCAATAGCAGCAATGTAAACATGGACAACCAGAGCATGGAATTTAAAAATAAAAAGGATCTCTTGCCAGCATGCTTGCCTGTTCTCTGCAGAAAGCTCCACAGAAAGCCCCTTCTAGAACTACATGCCAAGCCACATGGCCATAAAGCCATTTCATTTGCTTTTCATCAGCCATGAGTGCGCCTGTGAGTGGAATCACATGTTACCTCACATCCTCTGGTATTCCATCATACCTATTGAACCTCAGAAATTACAGGATGGAAAAGAGGTCGAAAGTTTGGAGAAAGAGTTATTACCAATAACCAGCCTTTTTCTCCTGCCAGCATTAATTTGTCTCTTCTAAAGGAGAACTAATATGCTAATAAAGTCTTCATTTATTATCCAGCAGCTTAAACCTACCCACCTGCACTGTTTCTAAGGCAGAGCAGCCTCCATCCAAAAAACATTTTTTGCTCTGAAGACTTGAAAGGCAACAGCATCAATGTTTATTAGCCCCATATTTTACATCTCTGTATGAACGGGACAAAAATAACTTTTGAGAGTCTCGGGTATTCCTTTTCCTCCTCAGAGTACCTCTTCTGTGCCAGATGATGCTCTTTGACTCAGTGACCCTCATCCAGGGATGGAGAGAGGAGTCTGCTGTGTAGTGAAAAAATTCCAAAAGCTCCAAAGTTAGATGGTAGTTGCCTAAAGAGATCAGAAGCTTCCAAATTATGCCTCTACAACAAAAAGGTGATCACTGACCCAGTTCCTGCTAGACCCTTCCTCATCCTGCCCTTTTTGTTGTCTTGCAAAGAGCAATCCTTACAAAAAGTGTCTGAACACTCATCTAGAACAGATGGTCATGTGCACGCTGGCTAGCCACCAGTCTTCAGAGAAGCCAGACCTGAAGCACCCACCTTGCTTCAAGGAAGCCAGGCTATTCTTGGTTCCAAATCCCTTGCAACAGGACTTGACACTGGGATTTTGAATCAAGGTAACTTAAGTCAAGAGAAAACACTGATAAGAAAGCCAAATTCATTATTAGACTAGATTTTCATTACTTTCTCATCACTAGCTGAAAGAGAATGGGAGTCCACCAAATTTCAAAGCAAATTATTTCAGCTTCTAAAAGCCCTCTTGATTTTAAAACACCTGCTTAAAAACTGCTTACAAGTACTTTTTTAACAGGATGGAAAAGGGCCAGACTTGCTTGTGCATGGGCTTCCAACAGATATGAACAGATTCAGAACCGGAGGGGGCAGAAAGTTTACATGATTGCTTGAAGCATGGTGGCCCAAAGAGGAATGTTTTCCTTTTGACAGCTACAGCATAGGATGTGTCAGCAGCCACGTGACCAAGCATACCAGCCTTGAAACAGGGTGCCACAGGCAGCACCAAGAAGAATCAATTTATATTACAAATTTTAGATTAATTAACGCCGTTTACGGTTCTCTTTTTGCATATTCCAACCTCTGAGTTAAAGGGAATGAAGAGGAAAAAACAAGTTCCTATGTTTTCCCCCTTTTGCTCCTGTTTCTTATGGAAATCCAATGTCAGCTGCTTCCAATTCTAGAATAAAAAAACAGGACTACTCAGGTAGAAAGCCTACAAACAACCTTCACAAAACTAATGCAGATTTAAAGAGCTACTTGATTTGCTTGTACTTCAGGCTAGACTAGCAATGATTGCATTAAGAGAATAACAATGTGTTCAGGTGCCAATTATACATAACATGTAATTACAGGCTTAGAGAGACATATCCTTATCTAAAATAAGAAACAGGCTTCAGCATTCAGTCTTAACTAAGTAGTTTTCCTTGCATTTTTCTTCTCCCTACCTTTTCCTAAACTACTAAACACAAGCAATAGGCTGGAATGCAGAAATGCTCAAAATGCATCACTGCTCTGAACATAGTAATCTAATCCCTATTATATGTTTTCAGGACTAGATTGATATTCCCAGCATGGAAGATGCTCCTCCAATTAAAGTATTGGCATCAAGGTCAGCATTTTCCGTGGTTTTGAAGTGTCAAGAATAATTGGTTTAGAGAGTTAGCACTAAAAATCCTGTTTCAGTTATCAAAACAGGAACTTCTCCCAAGAAACAACATCCATCCTCACCAGCAGGAACGAGGATGCATTTGACTGTTTTCCTGTAGTGAGCAGACAAACTCACAAGTTGACTGTGAATTGGGGGGTAGAGGCAAGAAAGGCTGAAAATCAGGGTGTGGAAAAGGCCTAAAGACAAATCTGATTGCTCCTCAATGGACACTTCGGTCATCACCTCTCCTAAAACTATTCCAGTGAATGCAAACCAGAGGACACAGACAAGAGCTATGAATACACACAGAAGAAGAACAAAGACACATCAAATGCCTTGCTCAGGAAAGGCAAGGACTGAAGAAAGGAGTATAAAGAAGAGGGATCAATGCCTAATGCACAAAAGAGGTTTCCAAGCACAGCTATGGTCTAATCCAGTGCTATTCCAGCTGGCCAGAAGGTTTTATGTGCTGTTAGAAAAACCCCACCTCTTGACACATACAAAGCCACAACCATGACATTGGCACTCCTGACTCTCAGAATACTGGTCATATTGACAGCCTTCCTAATCACTAGGGATTTTCCTGAAAAATGCTCCATAGGTTACTTCAAGGTGAATAAGCAGAGGTTATTCTGGGCCAGTCACCCCTTTGGAAACTTGGCTTTCTTGTACTACATCTCAGCTGACAGGCTCAGAGCAGAGCACGTCCTTTTCTACTCCATAGGATGGTGCAAACCATCTTATTACTCCTGCTCAAGGGGAGGTCTAAAGGCACATATGCCTCCCACAAAAAACTGGCTAGGAACCCAGGTTCTGAGCTGTGTTAAGGGACTTAGCTGAGCAGCTGCTATTACAAAACAAGTTGCTGAAGCACAGGACTCCACTCACCTTTCCTTCCTGAATTACCTTGGCTTGATGGTTTATCAGTTACAGAACCTAAAAAGGGAGAAAAAAAAAAAGCCTTCTGTTTAGATGCTGCATGATCACACAGAGCATGTGATGTCATATTAATACAGACAATCTCTCAGCCCATAAAGCATCTGTTTTACTTGTCAACAGCTCCATTTAGGACTCTAAGCCTGTGGCTTCAACCAATGTGAAAAGCATAAGGAAGTTTTATGTGTTAAGACGTTAAAATCAAGATGAGGGTAAACAAGATATCTTTAGTAGCTGGATCTAATGATTTGAAAGAGCTCAATAGGCAGTGCGCTAGTAAGAAACCTGGAACAAATCCAAGGGCAAAAAGGAAAGTCACTTCTTTCATTTGCAAATGTCAGGAAGAACAAATCAAAAGCATATGGGGAGAGTGTACAGGGAATGCAAGTGCAGTATTCTAAAGGAAAGGGATTAAGTGGGACAATTCTCAGAAAATGAATTTCAAACAACCTCTGAACATCCCCAGCTGTTTGAAATGGGACACTGAATAAGATCCAGCACGTACTTGAATAGAATACGTCTTGGGTTGTTTACTATAACTTAAATCTTCACATAATATATGAGTCTATACTTGTTTCTGCACTCTGCTTTAGTACTTCATCACAGTTTTCTACTATAACTTGAACAGATAATAAAAGCTTTTCAAACAAATTCATTACCAAAGTGTATAAAAACCTACGACAAGTTGTTTGTTTTTTTGTAACAGCTTTATTCCTAGGAAACTGATTCTTCCATGCACCATTACTAAACAGTTCCAGTGATTACTGAACCTTCAGGAAACATGGATCAAAAGCCAGCTGTAAAGAAGTCACCTCTGACAGGCCCAAGAGTCTGGTCAAGACAAACTGTAAATGTAAACTCTATTGCCCAGGCACTTCTACTTGCAGATCAGTTCATCACAGATCTACTGCTGAATTACAAGTAGGAAGCACATACCCAACAATAGTCATCATAGGCCTAACATCTGTGTCCTACAACACAACATGACTTTACTTTCCTGTAACACAATTTTATAATCAAGACTAAATGAACAGGTATGCAAAACTTTAAAACATGCCCTACCAAAATGATATACAGGTAAGAAAGTCATATTCTAAGGTTTAAGTCTAATTACTGTAGCATTTTACCTTACACTAAAATAGGATTATTTTTTTGTTCATGTGCCTGTGAAGAACCAAGCATTTCCTCAGGCTACATTGACTCACAGGTTCTCAGACAACTCTCCACTCAACTTCAACCCTTATGCAGTTCACTTATGTTTGCTTATTACTACAAAACACCCTACACTGAATAAGGTGAGAAAAATTCAAAACCCCAAAGGTTTGACTGCTGTCACACTCTCACCTAAAGGGCAAACACTGCAAAGTGTGAGAGGCAAAATCCATGAAGTACAGATTGCAGAGCATGAAGCCAGATGCAGCAGCAGTGCCTACATGGCATCACTGAACATGTTAGAAACACTTCTATGCTTAGCCTTTTCTTTCTTTCATTCTGGGGAGGGAGTGAGTGGGACAGCACAGTTCTAGTGTTGCCCTCAAATTCTCCCAAACAGCACAGAACAGCTTCTCATCCCTGCTTGTGTCTAGTATGGTGCTGCCATAGCAGCTCTGTTCACCACAGCTCACAAAGCTACTACTGATTCGGGCCATATGAAAATCTAGAGCCCAACCTCATCCCACTTGAGCCATGGGCAACCGTATTAAACAGTAGAGAGAATAAAAACAACCAAAAAGCAACAAAACCAGCATTACTCTGTTTTAAGTAAACAAAATTGTGGATTTTTTCTCAACAAACTATAGGGCAACAGAACAATGGCAGGCTGAGTGTCCACAAACACGTCACTTCATAAAATATTGAGTAACAGACTGGATCTGGACCTCCCTCCTGTAAGCTGTGATGCAAGCCCCATGCTGTCCACCCCACAACATAAACACAGGGATCCTAAACTAAGCAACACGATCAAAAGACCCAAATTAATTATAACAGCAGGACTCCAGAACTGGGGGCTAGTAGTAAACACCTACCAGTTTCTCTCAGAACCACCTTAATGAATTAACTGAAATCACTCTGTATGAAAAATTACTCCATGTCCCACAGTACAGCTTGTGGAAAAAAGTTAGCCCATCTGTTACACAAATCTGTGCTTCTGGTGTACATGGCAACACTGTGACTCTTGCTGAGGCTACCACAGGTTGTTACCTTAGTGGTTTTTCTTACTGAGCTTCGCAGAGATGTCTGTATCCTAACCACAGAATGGACGCGGCAGAGTCCAGACTGCAGTGTTAAGTGGGGCAAACTGGCCAAGTCACCTGAAAAGATTAGGCTCTCTCAGCCCGATGCATTCACCCCAACCCCCTTCAGTTATAAAATTAGTATTTGTTGAAGCCACTCCCACAGTACCTGAACATACAGGAGTTTTGTTCTGTACAGAAGAGCCGCTAATAGGTTTGCCATCAGGTGTCACACACCAGCAGTATCCAGTGTAGGTATGGCACTGCACCTGTTTAATAAAACAAAGAGCAGGCATTTCATTTCTCACTCTATCACCAACCCCTTTTATTATAATCCAGCATCTTATTGGAAGTTCCAACCCAGGCACATCACACACAGAGCAAGGAGGTTACACAGAAGACAATCTTTGATATCATTATCTTTTCTTGCCTCACATCCCCCTCCCACCCCAAGGAAAGGTTATTTCTCCTACTCTAACTCCTTTAGCTGAAATTCAGAAAGCAAAAGGAAGTAGTCATCTGAAAATACTTTCATTGGAGGATGCAGCAATTGTGTCTCAGCTCATTCCACCCTCTGCTAAATCCCATTTATTATTTACCATTAAATAGTTGTCCCACTGCACCCCAGCTGGGTTATGGAAAGGTCAACCTGGCCCAAATTCCACAGCCACTGCTTAAGAGCAATGTCTATGGGCATTCCAAGAGCATTTTGTTCAGTACACATGGCTGGAAAAATGCAATACTGACTTGTTATGTTAACAAACCTTCTCCAGATAGATTTAAGCCCTATTCTGTTACTATGTCAAACTACACAGCAGGAGCAAGATCTAAGATGCTTGTTCTTCATATATTGACAAGAACTTAAGAATATTTGATGAAGGTTCTAATGAGTCAAATGGCACACAGTGTAAGATTCATCTTGCTTAACTTCAAAGCTCTGCTTCTGAACTGAGCATAGAGTTGCCCAGTTCCTTCCTTTTGCACAAAAAGGCACCAGAATGACTAGTTCAGATATAGTTCAGTTCTCTCTAGAGTGTGAACAGATAAATCCTGATCTAGCAGACTGATCTTAGTAACATCTATGCAGATATTAGTTCAGTGGCACTAGTTTCATTCAGCTTAAATCTAAATACAGCCTTTGCCTCAGCTTTCAGAGTTGTCAGCATTTGAATGAAATTCAGGATGCCTTTGATAGGCCTTGAGACAAAAGTAAATTATCATACAGGCATCTGTGTAAATACTAACAGGTTTAAAACTCCTTTCTAGCAAACACATTTTCAGTTGTGGTTAAGTGTGCACAACAGTATCTTGAAATGGTATAGAAATGTCTGAGATGGTTCCTTCGATACATTTCTGAAATAAGCCATAAAATAAGATCACTTCAGAAACCACCTTTTTATTTTACTTGCAAAATGAATTCTGTCCATTCTCCCTTTTTCCAAACAAGCTAATTGAAGCCAATTTCCCATTCCAGTCCTCTTCACACAAGAGAGGTGATGGGGTGTTTGTGCCATTCCCTTCATTAAGGATCCTTCAGAGCTAAACCAGTCATTCCCCTTGCTGACAGCTGGCTTTGATGCCCTGAGGTAGCAAAGTTTGTTCAGAGACTTAATGACAGTTTGTTTAAAAGGCTTTGACTATCACATAAAACGTGATCTAAGAGCAATTATAACACGGTACACCTTGTGTTTATCCTGGGTTTTCCTAAAGTGCAAATCAATCATTTCGCCTCAAGCATTCACTTTTAGCAGCCAAAATCAACAGTAATCTCATGTACCCATGTTACTACAGTCACTGTCACTGCTATCTGCAGTTTCATTTTTATTCTCTTGATATATTACAAAACTGATTGCAAATTGCTCAAAAGTACTACAACTATAAATAGCAATAATCACAGTAGAAAATATTTCTTATTGCTCAGTCGACTCAACTGAACATTCAAAACAAATATGATGAAACTACTTGAGTTTGCGTTTAGTATTTATCTTTGCTGATCACACACAGAATATTGCATTCCCAACAACACAAGAAGCTGTCTTTACATCTGAGCATTAACTGCAAAAATCCTACTCAGAGATGAAGCTAAATTCCGTTATAAGGTCTTGAATTTTTAAGGTAAGAGAATTCCACGTTACACTATACTTAAAAATATCCAGAGTACCCAGCATTTAAAAAAATCCAAGTGTTACTAACTTGATAGCCCTTCAGCCAAGCTTTCAGAAAAATAACAAAGTACATGGCAGAGGAGTCCAAAAAATGTGTTGACAAATTTCGGATAGAAGCATTAACTAAGAGTATGTTAGGTAACTCACTTCAGTGGAGAGCCACCAATTACATACACTCATTCATGCAAGCCAAGCACATTACATCCATAAAAGTGAAGTAATTTTGTAAATAACTAAGTTAAGGAATGCTGGTCAAGTACTGGTATCCCATGATCCTTTCTTACCCCACATTGCCATTAAAATAAAATTTTAAACATCTGAAATTGACAGCACTTTCACAACCACAACCACATGTTATACTGCAGTACCAAAGGAATTCCCTACTACAGATAACATCTGCAGTTAAACTGCAGCCCTTATCCTAAAGGCCAGACAGCTACCCATGAAGAGACACTTCAGAAACCTCAAAAATCACAAATCACTGCAGTTGTTTTTTTTCCTGAATGTCTTCATGTTGAGAGACTCCACCTTTCACCAGGATACATGACCAGGTCTCAGCATATTTAGGTATCATAACAGCAGTGGCCTACAGCCTGGAGTTTGCAGCTTAAAGGCTGGGGTGGAAAGGTTTTCATCAGTTACATAGGGCTGGTATGACACTGGAAAAATGTAAGGCAGTAGTTAATCCAATACTGTTTCTAAATGCTGCATGTAAACAAATCTAAAATGTCAATTATTTCAGAGAACCTATAGTGAGGAATCTTGAAGTTTTTCCAGTTATCTTAGGTTTGGGCTTTAGTTTCTAAATCAAATTTAAATCTTCAACCTGAAATTCAACCACATTTTAATCCTACTCCTATAGTAACGAGATGTTTACACACTGTTGCAATCAGAAGTGTAACTGTGTAAGCATGACATTTACTGCACAGTTCTAATCTTCAGTTATCAAGTTAATTTTGACTTTATCAAAATACATGTTAGAAAAAGTGTTTGACTATTTTGACTTTCAGTCTTCTAAAGCTAAGCATTGTGTCAGAGGGAATACATTATCAATCATATACTAAACTTGATTGCTAATCAAGCTGCAGCTACAGAATGCCCATTACTGCTGGAAAGGCACATGACAGAGTTTGACATCTCAAATTAACATATATACCTATCCAACAGATGAACACTAAGTTACATAATCAGACGAAACCTATAAAAAACATTTGAGGTCTTCAAAATCATGTTGAGGTCTTCAACATCTACACTTTTAAAACATCAAATTGCAGTTCAAAGCACTGCAAGGAGCCAAATCCCTGATCGCAGAGGAGAACACTGTTCCCATTCTTCATGGAGAGATAGGACATCTCACCTCTGTCTTAACTGAAGGATGAAAAGCATGAGGGACAAGCACCACAAAAATTGCTCTGCCACCACCACCCAAATTAAAAGTGAAGCAGCAGCTCCTCTATGACACCCTGCCACTACCACATGTGAAATCGAACAGCAGCTAATACACTAGTAATATGAGTAAATACCTGCTCTTATCAAATTCATCACAATATGAAAACATTAAGAGTAGTCACTGGCAGATGACTCTGCCTCTTAAGCACCTGAGGGGGAAAAAAAGCCAGTTTGGGTTTCCTCAGTATCTCACTGTCAATGTCAGAATCAATTTCCAAGCAGTCCAAAGCTTCTCACCAAGCAAACAACATCCTTTTATACTTATTTGGCAAAGGAGGATCAAGGGGTTGTTACTGAAAGCTAAACTGCAAGCCAGAGAGAAATTTTATGTACCTATATGATGCAGAGTAGAGAGGCAAAGCAGCAATTCTGCAATGGTTGAAACCAGTCTCTATGGAGTTACACAAAGGGCTAGTTTGCTGTAAGAGGCTTGAAAGCACCTTGGACAAGCACTGGGCTGAGCACAGGAGTGGCAGCACTCAGACTAGCCTCACTGCTTGCTGTTCAGATGAAATGTTTGGTAACTGCTTCCTATCCCATCACAGATCAAACAAACATTTCCTGTCTCTTTCCATAAGGGAGGGCAGTGAGAAGGGAAGAAAAACATTCCTTCTGCATTTAAAGCAATACTTCTATGAGAGAAGAAAAACACATCCAATTTTTGAATAGCACTGCTGAGGATGAGCGCAGTCAGCAGAGCTACTGCCCACACTCACAGCACGAGGCAAGTCTCCAAATCCTGGCTGCACCCAGGTGCTCCTTGTAAACACTAAAAACAGCTAAATAAATAGTTTCAAGCCAGCAGGCCATCTAGTCTGACCCAGAGAGCAGAAGCCAGTGTCAAACAGCAATTCTTTCATCAAGCCTTTCCTTTGTACAAACCATTGAGGCTCAGCTAGAAAGTCCTCTGAACCCAAGCTAGTGGTGCACAATCAGAACACTGGCCTGATGGCTATTTATCTTAACTCTAAATGGTGATGCCTCTGTTCTGGTTTACATGTCTTGCTGTAATGCTTAGACCCTGAACCTTGTCATACTTTCTGCTAGATTAAGAGTCAGCTGACTCAGTCTGCATCTTATGTTTGAGCTTCTTTGGGACTGCAACTCCTTAAATAATTTTTGTCATTTTTTCTGTTCTCTGCCCATAACTTAATTCTTCACAAACAGTGTTGTGCAAATATTCCCACCAGGGCTTTATGCAGCAGCCACCTCTCTCAAGTGTATGCACTAGTCAAGAAATGCTTGCTCCACAAGAATTTCACTATTCATATAACCAGGGAAAAAAATTAATTTGAAACAAAAGAATCTTAGCCATGGTCAAAGGCATTCCCATCACACACACTGACACATACACCATTTTTAGTTCAGAAGGGTCCCCAAGAGAGGCTTTCTGCTTCTGATATAGAACATGACATTTTAAGGTTAAGAATGATCTTACATTGTCACTTTCCTTCAGTATGTCACTCCCACCTTAAGAATCTGCTCCTTTGCTCTCTCAACTGGTACTTCTTTGAAGAAATACCACATATAACCAAAGTAGTTGCTTCCTTACCCATTCATGGCTTATCTTTATTACAACATACAAACAACAAACAGAGTGAAAGCTGCAGGAAGAAAGCAAAGATTTAAGTAGCAGACAAACCTGCAGAGCAGTA